TTATCAGTGGCCTTCATGTTGTCGAATCTGTTCATCAGTTCTGTTCATTTTCATGCTTTTCATCTTGCGGAACAGTTGACCATCCCTTCCTACATACATTGCTCTCTCATTTTCCATACCACCACACTCTCATACTTTTCTTTTGTGTCAGTGTCTACTCTTTTTTAATCTTGGCTTGCTCCTTTCTTTGCTCATTTTCTAAATATTGGTTGGCTACACTATTTTGACTATTTCTTCTCTTTTCCATACACTTCCTTTCTAAGCTTATGTAGTTTCCTTCACTCAGTACCGTCTCTGTACTGGTGACTCCCATCATGTGTGCATGCTTACAGTCCTGTGCTTCCGCCTGAACTCCAGGTTCTTAAATCTCAAAATACCTGGTTTACACCCACTTGGATGTCTAGTTAGTGTCTTAGACTTAATGCTGTATACCAAGAATGCCTGATTTTTCTCCCAAACATCTGGTACTTTCCAGTCTTCCTCATGCCAGTAAAAAGCACCACCATTTACCCAGTTTAGCTCCAAAACCATGAGTCAACTCTGTTCACAAACCAGAGATAATCCAGAGGTAATCAGCATCATTCACCTCCATCTTCCGGCCCTTGATAGCACATAATGTCCTTGAGCGTGTAAATCCCTGACTGCTGCTACTGACACAGACTAGAGAGCCCCAAGGTATGATGCTGACTGACTATGAAAGACCATCCCAGCTTGACATCAGCCAGTAGGTTGGACCTGTGGAGGCTCTGGAACCACTGGGCCATGCACTTGAATCATAAGTGGGTTAAAAGCCTTGTGGTGAAGACTTTGGCAGGAGATAGGGTACGGGAAAGACCCTGCAGATAAATTCTATTTCCTTCTTTCTCTTAGTGGACTGTTTCCAAGACACAGTGGTTTCGTATGGTCTCTTTGAAGAAGTTCTAGAAGATCAACAATCATCTGTATTTGTTTGGGGAGCTTTTGCCTGCTTAACACGAGCTGTGTGTGTATTTTTCCTTCCTTCCTTATTTTTCTTTTTCCCTCACTCTTGCTTCCCTGGGATCTGACCCCCAGTAAAGAATTAGCCAGTAAACTTTGGCCTCAGGTCCATTTTCTGGGTGTCCCAAGATAAGTTACTATCTTGAATCATTTCTTCACTTTCCACATCCACTCTGAGTTGAGTGAGTTTTACCTTTTTAGCATATTTGAAATCTTCTCTCCTCTTTCTGTTTTCTTTGCCTAACTGGTGGTTATCTCTTACTTAAATTACTTAGGTAGTCTCCCAACTGGTTTCCCTGTGCACAATATCATTATTATTATTATCTTTTTTTTTTTTTTTTTGAGAATCACTTTTTTTTTGGCATCACACATCACAGCAACTTCAAACTCTTGGGCTTAAGAGAGTTTGCCTTATCTTTTGCTTCAGCCTCCCAAGAAGCTGGGACGACAGGTGCCCGCTACAATGCCCGGCTAATTTTTTGTTGTAGTTGTCATTGTTTGGCAGATCTGGGCCGGGTTTGAGCCCGCCAGCTTCAGTGTATGTGGCTGGTCCCCTAGCTGCTGAGCTACAGGCACTGAACCATACAGTATTATTATACTCTATTTTACCCTCAGCCTTATCTTTTCAAAATGTAAATCAGTTCATGTCTCACTATTGCATAAAACTACAGATTCTCTATTATGTATCAGTTAAATCCACACTCATAATCATGGCCTGCTGCATTCTCTGTGATCATGGCTTTACCCTCCCTCTCTGATTCTCAGTTTCCTTCCTCACTCCATTACAGCTCCTCTCGTTTTATTTCCTCACCTCAACATGTTGTTTGCTCCTGCCTTGGGCTCTTTCTTGCCTTTGTCTGGAATGGACTTTCTCCAGATTTTTAGTTGGCTGATCACTTTTGTCATTGAAGTCTCAGCTTGAATGCCTTCTAGGAGAGATCTTCCCTTCATTTATTTTCTTTATTATGGTACTTATATTTTATCTTAGTTTGTTGTCTGTCTTTCCCTGTCCCCTTCTCACTTCTATACACTCTAGAAAGTAAGATCTAAAAAATAATAGGGACCTTTTGTATCTTACTGAATGCTGTATCCTCAGTTCCTTGAATCCTATCTGGCCCAGAGCAAGTGCCCAGTAAATATTTATTAAATGAATAATCTGTTAACGATATAGCTCATTGAATTTGATGCTGTAATAAATTAGAAATCTAATTGGGAGCAAAGTAGCTAAACACATTTCTGTCTTGTAAATGAGTGTGCTATCTAACTTATTTGGCTTAGTGACCAGCTGTTCTTTACCTCAATGTAGGGTATTATCTCACCCTGCCCTTTTGTAATCCCTGGAACTATTCACTTTGCTTCCTTCCTTGTGCTAGTACAGTTGCATACTGTTAAGGTTGCCTTTAAATTGGCTGAATCAGACCTTGGTCATTTATTAACCGTGGTGACTTTAAACCAAGATTTTTTATCTTTTAATGCTTCGTATCCAACAGCTGCAGTTGGACTGTGTCTGCTCAGTCTGTTCCAAACTGAAGTTGAATGAAGAGATATGCTGTAAAAGGCATGAGAGACCATTTATTAGGTGCCAAATTTCCTATGATGCAAAAATGGAGGACCTAAGTGGATGGCACCTTTTATTGTAAGCTAAGAGAAGTAAGCCAAGGGAAGAAATGAGAGGGGAGAGGAATTTAATAAGCTGATGATAGTTCTTGCTTCACTTTCACTGGTGGAAAACACCTCATTTATTCTTTTAAACTGTGTATGCTTTGTGGGTAACAAAACACATTTCATGTAGCAGTGCCTCTGCTAGCAGAAAGGTTATGTTTTCAAAGTAAAAGCAGTGAAAGGGAAGGAGAGAATGTTTTCACTTTGTCATCTTCTGTATCCCAACTCACAGCAACCTCAAACTCTTGGGCACTACAGGCACCCACCACAGTGCCCAGCTGCATTTTAGCGACGGGGTCTCACTCTTGCTCAGATTGGTCTTATCAGGCAATCCACCTGAGCAAGAGTGAGACCCCCATCGCTAAAATGGAGCTAGGCATTGTTTCCAAAATAAAAAAAAAGACTGGAAAGCAAAAAGATGTTTGCAGACATGACAAGCTTGTAATAGTGGTTGGGCCAAGTACATCAGGGATTGGGAAATGATAGCCTGTTTTATAAATAAAGTTTTATTGGGACACAGCCAAACACATTTGGCTATGGGCTGATTTTGTGCTACAGTGGTAGAATTAAATGGTTATGACAGACTATCTGGCCCAGAAAGCCTAAAATGTTTGGCTGTGTGGATCTTTACCGTATCAACCCTTGCTCTAGAGACCGAAGACCAGCCTTCCTCAAAATCCATAAAGACTCTTGTGACCTCCGATGTCCAAGGTCTTAGGTTCCTATACCCAGAATTCTGATCTCTTTGTTCTTTCTCCCATACTTACCTTCCCCTAGTCTTGGGATTTCTCATAATTTCTGTGCCTCAAACGATGAGATAAAGCAAAATAAGAATTTACATGTTTGCTGCCTTTATAGGATAGGGTAGAATTTGTTTATATTTCCTATTTTTTCTGACACATTATCATGTTAACCCCTGTCCCCTCTTTCCATGTCTTCCATGCATGTCTCTGCTGCATTTTTTCTGATATATCATCAACATGCTACCTCCTTTCTCCCTTTCATGTTTTCCATGTGTCTCTGCTGCTTTCCAGGACTTCTCTTAGAGAAGGTAGGACAAAAAACGTAGCTAGAATTTGTGCCCAAGAGCCAGAGCACGTCTCTACAAAAATTAGAAAATTTAGCTGCACATGGTGTCACACACCCATAGTCCCAGCTGCGGGGGAGGCCAAGGCAGGAGAATGAATCACTTGAGCCCAGGAGGTTGCAGTGAGCTATGATGACACCACTCCACTTTAGCCCAAGTGACAGAGTGAGACTCTGAAAAAAAAAAAAAAAGCCTGGGCCCCACTACAAAAGTATCTTGTTTTAGTTGTTTGGCGGTAGTGACAGTGGTATGTGTGTGTACCATGGAGATCTCCATGATCTCCCTAGACTATTCCAAATGCAGCCAGGAACGAAAATTGGTAGATTATATATTTTCTGTTTACTTCTAAAAAACAAAAATAGTGGCATTGAGGGAAAGGTACATGGTAGAGAATTTCAACTAATAATGAAGAGTGTTCTAGTAATTAGAGTGTTCTAGAATTACCTAAACATGTGCATGTGGATTAACCACTTGTAAAGGGTGCTTTGAAGATGACTGCTTTGAATAACATGTAGGACTTAGTTGTTCCTTAATTTTAAAAAATCCTTCTGTGCTTCTACAGATTTAGCATCAAATGTATAAGCTCAGTTTTGGGCATTTTGAGTTTGAATTGTCTGGGGTACTTTCTAGGTGGAGATGTTAGTTGACTAAATGGCTCTGGCGCTTAGAGAGAGAGACCTGACTGGGGGGACATCAATGCAAGCATGGTAGCAGGAAAATCTCCAGAGTGTTCTTTCTTATAAACTTACTAAGCATTATTAGGGATGAACAAAACATAGAGTTCCTGCCCCTATAGCCAAATATTCTTCAGCCCTTATAGATTGAAGAATCTTTACAAAATCACCTGGAAAATTCTTGAACTGTCATCTATGTCAGATTGCTGCAGTAGGTCCCAACGGTTTAGCTGAACTGGATCATAAATTTCTCAGGAAAGTCCTTTAGAATTCATCTGAAATGAATGAGGAGTGTAGGCAGGCACTGAGGTAATGAAAATAAGTCTGGTGGTGATTTCTAAGCCCCGAAAATAAAATAACATAAAATCTTGGAAGAAGGATTTCTAAGTTCTGTTTCATTTTATAATCGCTTTGCTTTCTTTTCCTGTCCTTTCCCTTTATCCCTTTTTTTCTGCATTTGTAACATCATTATTGCCGGTTCGTGAACAGAGGAATTACATGATAAATAATTTTTTTCTAGTACCAGATTTTTAGAATTTGGTCACTGACTCTAAAGATGTACTGAAAATATGATATTAATGTAACTTTAACAACTACAGATACCGGGAGGCAATTCAGAAGTGGGATGAAGCGCTGCAGTTGACCCCAGATGATGCCACCTTGTATGAGATGAAATCCCAGGTAATAATTATGAAGAATTGTACTTTCATTATGAAATTGTGCTGTTTGTTTGGTGAGCAATGATGAATTAAAATAGCACTTCCTCACATTGCTCTTTTCAAGTACTATATAGTTGGGAAAAATACCTCGTTGTTATTTATGGCTCTGCCTAGGCATAAAATTAGAAATTCATTTGCCTTCACAATGAAGTTAACTTTCATTTCATCTTAATTCTTGTAAGTTATAAGTAGATGGGTATCTTTTAAAAGTCACTGGTGATCTCTAAATAATGAATAGTATCTGCTTTCCTTGTATTCAATTGTGGCAGACTTAGCATTAGCTCAGTTTTCTTTAAAGGATGGATTGGGTCCTGAGTGAAGTTTCTCTAAAAATGGCTTAGTCCTTAGCAGAAGGTCAGAATAGATGTAGTTTATTAATAGTTTAAAAATAACATTTGTACTTTAAGAATACATTTCTAATACTTTGTGGGAAAGTCCATAAAGAGGACCTCTGAGCACTTGAATGAAGTTATCTAAGTGACTTTAAAAGTCTCAAGCGTATTTTAACATAAAACGTCTTTTTGGCAGGGAATAGTTGCAGTTCAGTCTTGATCTGCTCACCTAACAATTTGCAAACGATGGTCTCAAACATTTGATATATCCTTTATCAGCTTTGACATTAGTTTATTGAGGAAAAACACAAATAAGTTATGTTTGCTAAATGAAGTGCTGTAAGCACCTTTATTTGGATTCCTTTACTTTTCAGTCTTAAATATATTTATTAACGTCAGAGTTGGTGGCAAACTATATGAAGAGTTGTTATTTGAAACCTGATAATTATGTTTGTGTTACAATTTTTTTTAAATGTTAATGGTCCTAAATGTTATAGATAAAATTCTGCCTTTCCCCACAGACTAAAGTGGAGAGCGCTAAAGCTGTCTGATTTTTCTGGTTTATATGGTTTGAAAAGCCCAGTGATAAGGCTACCTGTGGAGTGTTTAAATGACTTTTATAGCAGAAAAATCATTCATTTACCCACAGGTCGGCTGATTGAACAAGTTCGCCTAGTTAACAACAAGTCTTGGGGGTCTCCACAAACTGCATCATAAAGAGAGTAATGTAATTGAGCGTTCATAAGCTCTCAGCCACCATGGCTAGAATATGACCACTTGGTTTTGACCAGATAGACATAGGATTCAGTAACTGGAAAGTCAGTAGTTTATATTTTCAGAGTTATTTCAGGAGTGAAAAGAGGACTATAATTCTTGACCCCAAATGGCAGAGGAGGAGGATAAAAACCACTAAAATGCTGTGTCCCAGACTAAAAATATATTTGAAAAATGGAAAGAGTTGTTTATTTGTGATTATCCTTTAGTAGTTTACTAATTTATGAATATTACTGACAGGACTTTTTCTTCTCTTTTGGCTTACAGGTCCTAATGTCTCTTCATGAAATGTTCCCAGCAGTACATGCAGCCGAAATGGCTGTTCAGCGAAATCCACATTCCTGGGAGTCTTGGCAAACTTTGGGACGGGCTCAACTTGGATTAGGAGAGATAATCCTGGTAAGGAGGTCAGATTATCATAATGCTGATATTTTAAGTTTATTTTGATATGTTTTTGATCAACTGAACCAAAAAGTAAATAGCCATTTATCAAATTTTTTATAAAAAATAAATAGAAAATTGCGTATTAAAGATATTAATCCATAATCACAGATCACAGTCATTACTAAACATCTTGTTTTATTATAAATACCAGTTCTAACAGTGTGAGAATATTTGTCATCAAATATTAAAAAAATTAACATAAAACGTTGACATTTGGTAAACCATGGTATTTAAAGAGACAGTAAGCAACTTTTAGATTAGTTCTTTGAATTATTAAATTTACCACATTATAATGTGACATTAGCATCCCCATGCAGACAAAACCACTGACCTTATGTAGGGGAAGGAAGAGAGTATAATATAGGCAGGTAAGGGTGACAGACATTTAGAATGAAAAGTTGCCAGGCATAATGAGGGGGAAATGGGAAAGAGTAGAGACTTAAGAAAATGAAATACTCATTGTGTAAGGTTTACTCAATGCTTCTCTCCATTATGTCCGATGTCTGGACACCTTGTTGGTAGCAAAAGCCAAATAGGTAAGAATCAGTTGTGAGAATTGTCCTGTTTTTGTTTTTCTTTTGGTAGGGCTCTATGTACCCGACCCCTAACAAAATTTAACTTAGCAAGCATTTGCAAACCTAATATATAGTGCCAAATTTCCTTTTTGCTATTAAGTAAATCAGTGGTTTTTTAAAATGGTTTTATTGGCCTTTTACATTTAAAAATAAAATCAATTTTAAAAGTTTCTTGGCTCGGCACCTATAGCTCAACCGGCTAAGGCGCCAGCCACGTACACCTAAGGTGGCGGGTTCGAATCCCCAGCCCGGGCCCGCCAAACAACAATGATGGCTGCAACCAAAAAAAAAAAAATAGCCGGGCGTTGTGGCGGGCGCCTGTGGTCCCAGCTACTTGGGAGGCGGAGGCAAGCGACTCGCTTGAGCCCAGGAGTTGGAGGTTGCTGTGAGCTGTAATGCCACGGCACTCTACCCAGGGGGACAGCTTGAGGCTCTGTCTCAAAAAAAAAAAAAAAAAAAAGTTTCTTGAGAGGGTGGGGCACTACTAATAGAGGGACTTCACCCAGCAAACGCAAGCAGAATAACCTGGCTCATTATGCCCTCAACAGTTCCCCAACTATTAAAAAGAAAAGTTCCATGAAAGGCTAAAATTACTGAAAAATCCTGAATTTAACTTCACTAACAATGGTTTTAGTAGACTGTAGATGACTTAGATTTTTCTGGCACTGTTATAAATATCACTGTTTCTCTTTACCAAAAATAGGGGTTTTGGAGGGAGGGTGATTGGTGGGATCACACCTATGGTTCATCCTATAAGGGTACATGTGAATCTCTCTAAATGTAGAATATAAATGTCTTAACACAATAACTAAGAAAAAGACATGAAGGCTATGTTAACCAGTTGGATGAAAGTATTTCAAATTGTATACAGAAATAGAACACTGTACCCCATGATAGTATTAATGCACACAGCTATGATTTAATAAAAAAAAATATATATATATATAAAATAGGGGTTTGTCAGATTCTCAGAAATCATAAGGAATTTTCATGAGAGAATAATTGATTGGACAAAGTAACTTAAAATAATAACCTTAAATGAGATTCACAGTGATTAGAAAGAAACCATTTTAGCCAGGGGGCGTTTTCTTTCCATTTAGTATTGTCATCTTTTCTCTTTTTACCGGAAGACTTAAACCATCCCCGAGTTGGGAGAAAGAATTCAGGGAAATTTAGTTTCCTAACAGACTAGCTGGAATAAGAAAAACTTCTATTATGTAATCTTCGTTTCCTATGTCTTCTTTATAAAAACCTTAAATCATATCTTTTGCTTATATGGTAATGGAAAAAAAATCTCTAGGACATAATGTTTAGTAAAGATTTTCTTTGTAAAAAAGAAATAACACTGCAGGTCAGGCTCAGTGCCTGTGGCTCAAATGGCTAAGGCGCCAGCCACATACATCTAAGGTGACGGGTTCGAATCCAGCCCGGACCCACCAATCAACAATGATGGCTACAACCAAAAAATAGACGGGCGTTGTGGTGGGCGCCTGTAGTCCCAGCTACTTGGGAAGCTGGGGCAGGAGACTCGATTTAATAATTGAAGTTTTTTGAATCAGAGTACCCATTACTCATCTTTCTTTTCTTATTGATAAGGTTCTATATCCATTAATACTATGAAATCCCTGGAGGAATTGAAAAGTGTTATTTTCCCCCCGTATGAATGCAACTTTAAAAAGTTTATTTTTAACTGTTGGTAGGGTGGTTTATTTCTTATTAAATACAATTTTAAGGGCTCTACTTGGAAAACCTTAAGTTTGTAATTTTTGCATAGACTTAAGCTAGTCTCTTAAAAGACTGCAATGGTTAAAAAAAAAAAAAACCCACCAAAACCCAACTTCGCTCAAAATGTCCTAGTAAAGGGATATTGTGAAAAATATATTGAAAGCAAACTAAAATTTCTAACACTTAACAATTTTTTATAAATATGAACAAAATTGTAAGACATTACATACATAAGTAGATTAAAAGTCAATCATTGGGTATATCTCCATGAATAATTATTTAGATTGAGAGTTGTATGTGTACACTGGAAGATGTTTATAGGATATATATCTTATCTGTCTATCTACATATATATAGACAGAGAAAGAAAAGAAGACTCTATGATAGTGTGCTTTGAAGAGAAAGGATGAGAAAGTAAGAACGCTGAGGAGAACGTTTCTGGGAGTTAAAATTCTATGTGAGGGATTGGGGAGGCGAAGTGGAAAGGAAAGGAGATTGGGAAGGGTAGGAACACGGGGGGACAGTGAGTGGAAGGGTGAGTCTGCTAGCTTCCTGTGGTCCTTAGCCCTTGGTACTGGAAATAGCTTCCTGGCCTCCGTTTTAGTCACTGCATAATTCATTGCCAGCTTTCTCTGTTTTTCAAGTTTCATTTTAGTCAGTGTTTTAATATTGTGAATGAACAAATCTTTTACTAGAAATTTCCCTTGCGTCATTTGTGTCTTCTAGTTCTCTTCTTGTAATGGTGATTATCAGTATAACGATGGGATAGATAAGTGAAAATTTCCACAACAAAGGAGGTTAATTCTTACAAAGGTTTAAAGATTTCAGTTGTAAATTTTTGGTTTAATTAATGACCGTACATTTTTTGAGTTAAGCTGCATTAAATTTTCTTTTACTGATAGTACAGTCAAGTTCTTGAATAAATGTTGTACGTTGATACTTGAGGTAAAAATTGATTTTTTTCCCTTGTAAAATAAAAATAAGAGCTTTATTCTTGTTTTGACATTTTAAACAATTTTTTTTGTTGTTGTTGTGACAAGAACAGTTAACATTTTTCCGTGTATGGTCCAGTGTTGTTAACAATAGGTGTAAAGTTGTACAGCAGATCTCCAGGTGTAAAGTTGTACAGCAGATCTCCAGGTGTAAAGTTGTACAGCAGATCTCCAGGTGTAAAGTTGT